CAAAACGTTTACATTTTTAATCAAATTCTAAAAATAAAAAATACGAACAAAATAAGACAATTCAGAAAATAATATGTACAGATTTAATTTCTAAAAATAAAAAATATACTATGAAAGGCTGGGAGAAGGAGAAAAAGGAAGAGAGACACGTGGTTGAAAAGAGAAAATAATAATAATAATAATAATAATAATAATAATAATAATAATAAACAAAGAACTGTGAGAGGTGGTCCGTACCTCTCACATGTTGACGAACAAGTACTTACAATACTCTTCCATCCTATTACAAATTCAATAAAAATATATTTTTATATCTCTAATTTAGAAATTTAATTTTAATTTAAATAATTATATACAATATATTTTCAAACCATAAAATACTAAATGAAATTTCAATTATACTTAATTAAATTATGACCATAACAATAACATATAGTTGAATTTTAAAAAATGAAATATAGTTTTGTATTTTAAAAGTTTAAATTAAAAATTAAGATAAAATTATGATTATGAGAATTTACAGTATTTTAAAGATAATCACGTAATTAAAAAAGAATTTGAAAAAATAAATGATTATGAAACACATTATATCAAATAAATCCTAAATCTAAAATATTTGAGCGTTTAATTGTTACTGGTTAGAAATAAACAAATAAATAAATAATACTACAATCACTTTTATATAAACTATAATGTAATATTTAGGGAGTTTCAATAATTTCAATTTTTTTTTTTTTTAAAGAACCAACCCACTTAGAAGGTCCTGGGCCTGTCATTGAGGCCCATTTTAAACGAGAAGAAGATGTGAGGATAAAAATCCTCATTTTTTAATCTACGAGTGTGTAGGCTAGGTTGTACATATCATAACTACTCTCACATATTAATAAATTAATCCTACTCCATTTGATTGTCTATGTAATTCATAGGATGTAGGTGACAACCACAACTTAAACACCTCTCTCATCTCTTAATTATTTATGATAGAGGAGTATATTTTTGTTCGGGGAAGAGGCAAATGGTGTCATTACGGAATATCCCACAATGTATTTTGTACTCGTGTACCATGTACATTAATGGATGGATCAAATTGGTAAACAAGATTTAAATGGTACTTTCTACGTGGAGATGATTATTATGAAAGCCAATAAAATTCTACATTTGTTAGGAAAAAAACGTGAGCGTGGATATATAAGTAAGAACAACTATCTCCACTACAATGAGACTTTTATACTTAAAGTTGACAATATATAACGCATAGATTCAAACGTCTATCACAAGCTATAAATATGTCTATAATACCAAGTCATATAAACTAAAAAAATTTGTCTAACCTATACATTGGCACAATCAAAATATAAATCACATAAGAATGAAGTTAGGGTATCCAAGTCCAAGGTTAGGGAACAGTGAGTCCTGTTAGGAATCACGACTCTCCACAATGGTATGATATTGTCCACTTTGAGCATAAGCTCTCATGGCTTTGCTTTGGGCTTCCCCAAAAGGCCTCATACCAATGAAGATAGTATTCCTCACTTATAAACCCATGATCTTCCACTAAATTAACCAATGTGGGACACTCCCAATCCAAATAATCCTCAACAATCCTCCCCTCGAACAAAGCACACTATAAGCCTCCCCTGAGGCTTATGGAGCTCTCGAATAGCCTCCCCTTAATTGAGGCTCGACTCCTTCTCTGGAGCCCTCGAACAAAGTACACCATTTGTTCGACACTTTAGTCACTTTTGACTACACCTTCGAGGCTCGCCATTCTTTGTTCGATATTTGAGGATTCTATTGGCATGGTTAGGTTTAGGGCATGGCTCTGATACCATGTTAGGAATCACGACTCTCCACAATGGTATGATATTGTCCACTTTGAGCATAAGCTCTCATGGCTTTGCTTTGGGCTTCCCCAAAAGGCCTCATACCAATGAAGATAGTATTCCTCACTTATAAACCCATGATCTTCCACTAAATTAACCAATGTGGGACACTCCCAATCCAAATAATCCTCAACAAGTCCAAATGTCAAAGAATGTCTATAATAATTGGATAAGACACGGTGCTATATCTGGGTGCTGGATTTAACTGGTCTTTGAGAACAGACCCACAGAATTGGAAAGAATGGGAGACAGTGGCAGTAGCGGTAGCAGGCAGCTGATGTGGTTGTGACTTTCTGGATAACTTTTAACTTCTTTCATACCAAACCATATCCTAATCCCACGTTGCCTTATTATTCTTCTTATTCTCCCAACCAATTCTCACACTATTCCTGGGGCAACCTTTTCTTAATTTTCCTTTTCATTTTTTGCAATGAGGCTAAGCTTGAAATCTTAGTTAATAATGAGTAGGTGAAACTATATTTTCATAGTTCTCCATTTGAATTTATTTTTCTTAAAAAAAACAAGACAAATGGTAAATGAGAGCTAACTAAACTATCTATTTTAGTTCGAAAATTATCATGTTTTTAATTTCACAGCTCAATAATTTTTTTTTTTTATAAAAAAAAAAAACTGCATAGCATGTGTAAATTTATGATCCAAGTTATGTATTGAACATGATAAAAAAATGAAGAATTTCTCTATTAAATATACTAAAAGAAAAAAAAAAGATATTATCTATTTGCGAGCGAGCGAGCGATAGAGAAAGGTGAGAGAGATAAGCCTCGTTGAAAAACGAGAACCTTATCCCCATCCCTCACACTAGAATCCACGCCCACAATAATTGTAAAACATTTGCCATACCGTCTTGGATTTTAGAAAACTTTATATAAGGCAGACCTTCGATTAGCTTCTCTCTCCCTCTTATCATTTTTTGAGGAAACCATTCGAATTTCCGAAAATGTTCGCCATTTTTCACAAAACTTTCGCACACCCACCTGAGGAACTTAACAGCCCTGCATCTTTCAGTGGCTCTAAGACGCCTAAACTTCCTAAAGAAACAGTCAAAGAATTTATTTCTCGACACCCTCACAATACTTTCTCTGTTAACTTCGGTGAGGCGGCTGTTCTTGCTTATGTTCCTCCTGATCGTCCTTCCTCTCTCAGCCAAAGGTAATTCCCGCTCTAGATTTTAATTCCCAGCTGAGCAGCTTGAGTTGTTTTGTTTTTTGGTGAATTACAGGCTGTTCTGTGGATTTGATGACATATACTGTCTGTTCTTGGGAAGTTTGAACAATCTATGTGCACTCAACAAGCAATATGGTCTATCAAAAGGCTCAAATGAGGCCATGTTTTTAATTGAGGCCTATAGAACACTTAGGGACAGAGGTCCTTACCCAGCTGATCAGGTCCTTAAGGAGCTAGATGGCAGCTTTGCCTTTGTTGTTTATGACAGAAGGGCTGGGGCTGTTTTTGCTGCCTTGGTACACTCTCTCTCTCTCTCTCTCTCTCTCTCTCTCTTAAAATGAGCAATTAATTTGGTATTAAAAAGAAGTATGGTATCATGGGTCATAAACAGGGGGCAGATGGAGAAGTGAAGCTCTATTGGGGAATTGCAGCAGATGGGTCAGTGGTGATTTCAGATGATATGGATATCATAAAAGAAGGCTGTGCAAAATCATATGCACCCTTCCCACCTGGTAATGCTCTCTTTAACAGTAATGTTTTTTGATTGATTAGGGGAGTGGGAATTTGTTCTAATTGAGAAAGAAATTTACATGAACAGGATGTATGTTCCATAGTGAAGGAGGTCTAATGAGCTTTGAGCATCCATTGCACAAGATGAAGCCAATGCCTAGAATTGATAGTGAAGGAGTCATGTGTGGAGCTAACTTCAAGGTTGATGTGTATACAAGAGTCAACAGCATTCCAAGAAGAGGCAGTGAAGCTAATTGGGCCGAATGGGATACAAACTAGATAGATCTCTCTCTGTGTGCTCATGCTGTTTTCACAATCTCTTTTTCTCTCCCCTGTTCTAACATCTCTCTCTCTCCAGTGGTTGTAATTTAGAGAATAAAGTTTGTGGGTGCCTTCTTACTTCTTTTTTAAATGTTAATAAACAAGTAAATTGATGAATTCTTGAGGTATTTTCAGTAAATTAGTGAAGAAGATCATTCCTAGATGAAGCCTAACTCTAAGAAGAATTATATCAAACACTTGGCGGGCACATTGGCATTTCTGTTTTCTTTATGTAATTCCTTGTAGAACTCAAAATTTAAGAAACTTAGTATGCCAAAAGCCGACTATATTAAGTTTTCTCTTCCGAAAATCAACGCAAACATGCTATAATCTCAAAACTTACTCAACCAAAAGTCTCAAAAGATTCAAATCATTCATACTAACCAGACGGATAAAGTGCGTAAGTTTCTAACCTCAGATAATAGGCAGAAAGAGCTCGATTCCTCCTTGTTCTTCTTCTTCTTCTTCTTACAAATTACAACTGTGTGGCAAAAGTTATCATCAATCAAATCACATATAAACTTCCAAACATAGAAATTAAACCGCTTAAATCGCGGCAGAAAAAACGCCAAAAAATTTACCTAAGTATCGATCAAAGCAGAGGCAGAGCCCTGGTAGAGCCATGTTCGCATTTGAGGTTTCACGAACTCGTTCACAAAATCATATGATTCATATTCTATTATATATATATACAGATTCGATTTTCGCTCCTATTTTTGGCGGGAACTTAAATAAACAGTATATTAATATTTTCCCATTAATTACAATTATAATAAATTTATCTTAAACAGAAGAAAAACAATATCTTAAATTATATATTTAAAATATATTTAATAAGTTTCTTGAATTTTAAAAATGTTTATGAGATATTTAAATTTTAAAAAAAATTAATTTAATTTTGTTTTTAATTAATTTATAAATTAAAAAACACAGGTCGAATAGTTGAATTAAAAAAAAAAAATTAAAATTTCTATTTATTATTATTTTTAAAAATTACTAAATGGATCGGCACAATAAAGTTGCACTAAACTTTCGTTTCGCGCGGCTACGGCAGCAGGGTCGGCGACAACAACCGCCAGAGAGAACATAGACACCGAAGAAATGGCCGATCGTTTCTTTCCGATCCAAATGCCACACTTCGTGGCCGAAGCACCGGCGGACGAACTCGCACCGTCGGATTCCGATATCGACGAAGACCCACTTACTCCCTCTAAGCTTCTTTCACTGCCTCACGCTGCGCTTTCTGCTCGCTTTATACAAACCGCTCTCGACCTCAAGGAAACGGTACCTTCAGCTTCTCAGCTCGTTTCGGAATTTTGTTTGAAATTTTTTATTTTATGATTTTCTAGGGTTTTTCTTCTTTTTTTTTTTTTTTTGGTCTGAGATTCGTGGTTTCTTTTAGGTCGTGAGGGAGACGTGGACCTTGAGTGAAAGGTATCTACAGGATTATACATTGTATACTGGGGCATTAGGGACGGCTTTCCTGGCTTTGAAATCATACGTTGTTTCTAACAATGAGAATGATCTCAAATTGTGCTCTGAGATTGTGAGAGCTTGTGAGACTATTTCTAGAGATTCGAGGTAATCTTTCGGTTTAATTGTGTGATTTTCTGTACAAGTTTCATTTTATTCTTTGCATTTTTGTTGAAGCTTATGGATAGCCTCTGTAACTAGTGATGAAATCTATTTCAATGGAGAATTTAACGTAGAATGTAATAAGTTTGTGTTAATTTGAAGAAAGGTGAGATAGTAGAGTCAACGATGGAGACTATTCGTAAGACTTAATCAAATTACAGGACTAAAATGGAACTTAGCTACAGATCAAAATAACACTAGTGTCAAAATAGCAGATGAATAATAGTTAATTTTTATTGTTTGAAAGTGGAGATATGTGGATTGATTCTATGTTCTGGTGAGATATTGTGGGTCCTGTATGGGTTAGAGGGGGAACTAAGCATCCTTGGAAACTTTTCCAACTCATTTTAAAATATCTTAAGAGGAAGCCTGAAAGGGAAAGTCCAAAGATGACAATATCTGCTAGTGGTGGGCTTGAGCTGTTACAAATGGTATCAAAACCAGACACTTGACGATGTGTCAGCTAGGACGTTGAGCCCCGAAAGGGGATGGACATCAGACGGTGTGCCAGTGAGGATGCTTGGCTCCGAAGGGGGGTGGATTGTGAGATCCCACGTCAGTTGGGGAGAAGAACGAAACAAGGGTGTGGAAGTCTCTCTAGCAGACGCATTTTAAAAATCTTGAGCGGAAGCTTGAAAGAGAAATCTCAAAGTAGACACCTTTGGACTTGTCTGCTAGTGGTGGACTTGCGCCGCTGCTATAAAATTGGTCGTTTGGATTTGATTTCAGATCATTCAAATTTAGATTCCTTTTGCAGGAAGTGGTTTTGTTTGTAGGGAAATTCTCAATTTCTGTTCAATTGCATTGCAGGCGCGTGTCATTTCTCTGTGGGCGAGCGGGCGTTTGCGCTCTTGGTGCCGTTGCAGCAAAGCTTGCTAACGACGGAAGGCTAGTGGACCATTACTTGGAAAAGTTCAAACATGTAATGCTTTTTCGCCATTGATTTTATGTTGCCTTCCTTCCATTTACTTATGAATTTTATGCTGTGAGAGCAGATCAAACTACCCAGCAATTTACCGAATGAACTGCTATATGGGAGAGCAGGGTTCTTATGGGCCTGTTTGTTTCTAAACAAGCACATTTGTCAGCACACGATATCGAAAACTATTATGGTATGTCATTTTGATAAAACACTCTCATTTTATCTTCTTAACACAACTAAAAGTTGTAATATTTACCGTCTAATGGATTAAAATTTGGGCAGAGATCGGTTGTCGATGAGGTTATAAAGGTTGGTAGACAATTGGGTAAGAACGGGAAATCTCCTTTGATGTATGAATGGCATGGGAAGAAATACTGGGGTGCTGCACATGGACTAGCTGGAATTATGCATGTCTTGATGAACATGGAACTAAAACCTGATGAGGTTGAGGATGTCAAGAATACACTACGTTACATGATTAAAAATCGGTTTCCAAGTGGAAATTTTCGTTCGAGCGAAGAAAATGATTCTGATAAGCTGGTGCACTGGTGCCATGGGGCTCCTGGGGTTGCACTTACCCTCATTAAAGCAGCTGAGGTATTCATTGTCATTCTTGTCGTTAGGCCTGTATTACTAAGGATCCAAGTAACCGTAGCTTCTTTTATACTGATAAGATGGTGGGCTGGCTCATTTAGGAGTATACTATACGCTTGCATTGGTTTAGCTAGATTCAATAATTATACGAAACTATCAGCGCTCTGAAACCATATCTTTTGAGGCCTTAATTACAGTATTCATCTCTATGTACACACATACACCAGGTTTTTGGAGACAGTGAGTTTCTGCAAGCAGCATTAGATGCTGGGGAAGTCGTCTGGAACCGTGGTTTGCTCAAACGGGTTGGCATCTGCCACGGAATCAGCGGTAACACGTACGTGTTTCTTTCACTCTACCGGTTGACTGGTGATCCCGTATACTTATACAGAGCCAAAGCATTTGCATGCTTTCTGCATCAGAATGCTCAAAAGTTAATTTCTGAAGGAAAGATGCAGTCTGGTGATCGCCCTTTTTCCATGTTTGAAGGAATTGGAGGAATGGCATATCTTTTTTTTGACATGAATGAACCATCTGCTGCTAGGTTCCCAGCTTATGAACTGTGAAGTTTTTTTGACACTTACCTGAAATGTACAAAGCAGTTCAGCTGAACCTTGCAACGTTTTAGATATTGTAAAGTTTGTAAAAGTTGTACCTTTCTGCAGTTTGTAATACAGGTCGATACATGATTCACTATCGTTGTGAGAAATAGGACTCGAACAGGTCATTACGAGCCCTCTTATCTCGTAATGTATCTAACCTGTTCGTGTGGTTTGCCCGTTTGACCAAGAATGTAATGTTTAAAACACAAGGGCGGAAATAGAGAGTAAAATGTACCAAGATAGCCAGAATGTGGAAACTTTGCAAGAACTGAGGCCTTTTATTAACGACTAAACTCAAGTTTTACAGCAGAAAATTTGTTTACACAACACAACATCACAGATTCCGTAGTAAACCAAAGACCATCACAGAAGAAACTTCGGACTTCAGATTTTAAGCCAATCCAACAAGCTTCTCACTGAGCTCCCACACTCTGCGAGCCTTCTCTCCATCACTTGCTTCCTGAGACAACTGGTTCTCAAATGAAGCTGAGTTCTTGTTCCAGCTCCAATACACGCCCGACTTCGTCAAGCTCGGGTCACTCACAACCTGCATTACAAGCAACCAATCAAATTCTTGAACCATATGATCAGATGTTACACATCGTTTTCGTTGTCTACGGTGAAGTGAAGTTACCTGAGCCAGTCTTTTTCCTGATTCTTCTTCTGAAACATAGCCCTTGGTGATGTACTTTTGGAATGGAGGGAAGAGCCATCTGAACAAGGGAATGTGCTCTCTGAACAAACCAGTTGTAGCAATGCATCCCGGGTAGAGGGAAGCAAATGTGATGCCAGTTTCTTCATGGTACCGCCTGTGGAACTCTTGCATAGTAAGCATGTTGCACACTTTGCTGTCCTTGTAAGCCTTGGCACCATCGAACTCACCACCATCGATCATGGCCGAGCTGTTTAGGCCGGTCAGTCCTCCAGAAAGTCCCCTAAGGTCTCCAAGGTTGGCCTTAGGAGGTACATTTCCAGCCAAGGTATTAGTGTTCCCTGATCCAAAAGGAAAGGTTCAGCACCCCAATTACAAGATAGAAAACAACACGAAATAACAGGACGTACCGGTTATCGATCCAACGATGATGAGCCGCTTTGAGGGGTAATCAGATTTCTGCAAATCCTCTAACAACAAACGGGAGAGGAGGAAGTGACCAAGATGGTTAGTCCCAACACTAAGTTCAAAACCTTCAGCAGTGAAGGTAGGCTCTTTAGCAGTTGGGAGATAAACAGCAGCATTGCACACCAACACATCAAGTGGCCTGCCTGACTGCCTGAAGTTGTCAACAAACTGTCGAACGCTGTCGAGCGAAGCGAGGTCCAAATGCATAACGGTGTAGTTTTCCTTGGTAATGCCAGCAGATTTGGCAGCTCTTTCAGCCTTGAGAAAGTCTCTGCAAGCCATAATGACATGCCATTTTCCAGTTTCAGCCAGAGCCTTGGCTGTGGCCAGACCCAAACCAGAAGAAGCTCCAGTTATCACAACACTGCCCTTTCTAAGAGTTTTCTTCCCATCTGGAGCAGCTTTGTTAACTGCTGGAGTTGTGGTAGCAGTTGTCTGAGCCCTAATGGCACCAACATGGTGGTTGAATTCTCTCTGGCATTTTATCAAACACATAACATCCACCCCAATTCAGCTTGACTGTAAGTGAAACCAGACCAACCCAACCCAACCCAACCCAAAAATCCAAGACATATCAACAGAAACACACAGCATTTCTAAAGTAAACAGAGGCCAAATAACACAAATTTAGAAACACCCATTACCTTACACCTCAATGCAGATGAACTGAATTCAGATTTGAGATGGTCTGAGAATGAAATTCCAAAGAAACTAGAATCCTTCAAGCAAACAGTAGACTTCCCCTGCAACAAAACCCACATGCATGTCAAGCAAAATCGAACCCAAGTCATTCAAGAAAACATCTTCAATGCTTGAAGAGACAGACCTCTTTGGGCAGAGAAAGAGCAGGGGAAACCAGAGAAGCAGGTTGAAGAGCCATCAGAGAAGAAAGAGCTCAAAATGGATGATTTGTAAGGTAAATGAGGTTGAGAATATCTAGAGAGAGTATATATAGGGAGAAAAAGATATAAAAATTGAGAGATGATAAGATAATTGGAGAAGTGTGGGCTTCTTCCATATCAATTTGTAGCGACCAATCAGAATTTGAGAACTGGATTTCCTTGGATTCTTTTATATTCATTTGTGTTTTGCTCTTCGAAAGGGGAAAATCAAATGGAATTATGGGATGATGGGTGAAAAATCGCCAAAAATTGAAAGGGATAGGGAGTGGGTTGGAGCGGAGGTGGGGAATGTTTTTTACGATCATCACCCCTGCTAGTATTAACTTTTATACACTACTCCTAAATTTTATATTTTTGTTTAATATATATATATATTTTTTTAAAATAATAAAAACTATTATTACTTTAAACTAAAAAAACATTCTTCCTACCCGCTCCAAAATAATTTTACCGTTAGCATTATGTTTAAAAAATATTCATCGTCACCTTTAACCTTTATAAAAAGGTTTTTACCATCAATATATTAACGAAAACTGTCTATCTACACCTCATAGATTAACGCTTTATTCAATTTTAACCTTATAATGAAGTTCTAAGAAATTCTTACCATAACCTTTTTTTTTTTCTTCAAAAAGTTTAAGGATATTAATATTAGTTTTTAAAGTTAGTAGGTATTTTTGAGATAAGGGTAGTAATAATTCCATTTATATTACTTTTACTTTTTTTAGTCTGAGTTTAAGAGTATTAAAATTCCGACATGTTAGGATCGTACAACAACATACACTTTATATGTCATTTACTGAATATAGTTTTACCGTTTAGTTTATATAGCTTCTTACGGTTTACTGACAACCTTCACAAACTAAAAAAAATTCCTTTTTTTTTACCTCCTTTTCAATTCAATAAAGCTTTCGCAGTGCTCAAAACTCTACAATTCCCGATTACAGAAATTACATCATCTGTTGCTAAATTCTTACTGTAAATTTCCTTTTTTTTTCTTCTTTCCTTCACAAATCTATACTCTTTCCTGCCACTCGTCACCGGACTGGCCTTTCGGTAACGCCCCGCCTGACTGGCCCGACCAGCCCGACTGACGAGCACAAGCACTGGGTAACATGAACAAACTTATAATTCTGCTAACAACATTACAATTCTCACCCAACATTTGTCTCTGTACATATAAATTCCAATCACTGGTGAGCAAATGAATCTATGCCAATGGTGCTGGTTTTAAGAGGCTTCCATATTTTCATGTCACGCCTCGTTAAATCTTAACTGGAAATCCGAAGTTCTGGAACGTTCGGATTTCGCCTCGAAGCCCAGCAGTCACAATCACCATACCCCATGCTGATGATCCTTGAAACATTTCACTGGAATGAGGACTACGGTTGTTGTGAGTATTCACAATCAGCTTTTCCGCCGGCCATGTTGCTGAGATTCTGTCAAAGAAGTAGCTATTGGTGGCACTCGAAAGTGTTCCGTGGAGAGGGCTGTTCGTGCAACCAGATGCCGAGAGTGAATCCTCGCTGCCGTTTGCTACTTCCACAGGTGTAGGAGGATGGTTAGCAGAGGAGATTTCGTCGAGATGGTTTTCGATTGTGTTGTCATCTCCATGATAATCGTCTTGAAGTTCCAATGTGTCGCCCAAACCAGGCCAAGGAATAGCAACGGAGACGTCTTGACAGTGGAAATGCTCGTATGATCGAACGACTGTCACTCCCTTGCTCCTACTGGGTCGAGAATCAGCTTCATGCTTCCATATGTACACATGTGAATCCTCACTCGCTGATATCACATACCTGCCGTTCGATGAAAGACAGGCCGAGATTTGGCTGTTCGTATTTCGGAACCCTGTTACAAACTTAACACTCTTAAACAGTACACATAACAACAACTCACTGGTATAGGAACGATCATTCTATAAGCAATGATAAACCGAGACACAAATATTTGTTGGCAATGATCCTATCACTATAACTTGTGGAGCCATACGCCAATATCGAGCGTTCACAAGGCACCGAGACGATTTAACATGTAAAAATGAAACTGTAACCAACTTCTCGAAGTGCTCGGACTCTAGGAGCTTACCGGACCGTTCGTAACAGTTTTCTACTTTTCACACTTGCTAGAAGTTCTAAAAGGCAACCCTTAAAAAACTATACTTCAACCATACCTTTAAACCTATAGACGAGATCAACACCATCGACCACTCGAACGCGTGAATCTGCAGATGTAATCAGCACTTCTGACGAACTTCCTGGAGCAAACTGTTAATCGGAAATGATCAGCAACGGGCTTCGGTTGAGTCAGTCGGGGTAGTTAAACACGCATATAGGCAAAATATGAAAAGAGAAACACTGAAATAACCCATAAAATTACCTGGAATCCAGTAATTTTCTTGTGACTAGATTTTTTCTTCTTGTTCTGCAGATTTATCTCACTTTTTTGCTGCATCTTGTTCTCTGAAACAAAATCGTAAAAGTATATATATATCATTCGGTCGATGCCGAGATGAACGGAAGAATTCGGTTGGTCGATTACATCATTAATCAGAAAATATAATATACCAGAAGTACTGTACAATCGGCAGCTTCCCTTGTAAGAACCAACCAAAGCACCCTTTAACAGTGGGAAACAAAACCATGTTAAGCAAGAAATAGGACTTAAGAGTTATACATAGAAACAAGGCAATGTTATGAACTATACAACCTTGCCATCAGGCGTATAGCAAGCAGCGGTCACCATCTCATGCAAGTCGCTCCAATCAACGACTTGACGATCTGGTATACTCCATATACGAACTTTAGCATCTAATGATCCACTAATGAAGTATCTATCGTCGATAGGATTAAACTGGATGCACGTTACTGTGGCACGGTACACGTGAGAAACAAACTTGCTATTAGCTATGAGACAGTGGAAGCAACCATAGAAGATACGAAAACTTGGGAATTTTAGATGATCAAATTACGCTCGGGTTTCGTTTCCGTTGTTATATAATCTTAGACTTACAAAGCAAGAGAAATAAAGGAAGTGAACTTACCATAATCACTGTGGGAAAAGATTTTCAAACAGGATTTGCTTGACAAGTGCCAGAGCCTCACGGTTTTGTCCATTGAAGATGAGAGCAAATGCTGGGAAAATGAAAGCAAAGATTCACAATACAATATCAACAGCATATTCAGTTTAAAGTGAGCCAATTCAAACAATAGATTTAGAATCGACCGAAAAATATTAAACTTTCACGAAACAAAAAAATTATAACGTCCCAAGCCCACCGCTAGCAGATATTGTCCTCTTTGAGCTTTTCTTTTCGGGCTTCCCCTCAAGGTTTTTAAAACACGTGTGGCTAAGGAGAGGTTTCTACACCCTTATAAACGGTGTTTCGTTCTCCTCTCCAACCGATGTGAGATCTCACAAACATATTTCAGAATTACAAGGTGTGCCACAGCACGTGTGCTTCAAAGGACGCCTCGACTCCCCTCGATGGTGCCCCACTCCTAGATGCCGCCTACACATGCATTTCAAAACTCTGCACCGGAAGATGCAGCCTCTAACCAAAACACATAACCAAGCAAACCAAGTGCAACCACACTCTTTTCTTTATTCCATTTTTCATGTGGCAAACAAATATTTCATTAATCTGATGACCTCAACCTCCTACGCCATTAACCTTTCTGGGAAGCCGGTCCCTGCCTAAATAGACTGTGTTTTTTCGAAGTAGCTGCAATTTCATTGGCTGGTCTAGAATCAGCTACGTCAGAACAGGCCGCTAGGGGTACAGATTTGCTAAACATTCTTAAAAAAAGGCACATTCTTACATCTAAGGTTTTCTTTACCGAAGGTCGACAATATAACGGGGAGTATACGCCATCCTTCCAAAATCAACGAGCTTTACGGAAAAAAGCTCCAATTGGCATAAATAAAAGAGAGGGTATGAACATAATGACAGAATATTTTGAGAAGAGCTCACCAAAACAAAGCCAGAAAGTTCCTAATGTAGAGCTGTCACAGCCTACCACTGTTTAACGGGATGGCGATACATTAGTTGTTCAATTCTTGCATTCTTCGACGAAAATAGGAGTAAAGACCAAAGGTGACTACTACATAAGTCGATAAATTGCAAGAGAAAGGGACGTCGAGAAACAAGTAATTAGGATTCTCTTTGACTTCTCTTCCTACCAGAGTAGTGGACTTTATGAATTGTAGTTTCGAGTGAACGATATAACCTTAGCATTTATCAGTGGCCGAATTTTTTCTTTTAGTACATTTCATTGATATGATCCCCCTTTTGTCGAGTGTGCTACCTAGTTCACTAGGTTGTTGGCCTACCAAGCACTTGATCTATCGATAATTAATAGTATATTCATATCGACTTAGTAGCAGGTCTATCACATGAATATTTGAAATAAGAATCTACCTACATTATGATACCATATTCATAATACCATTCTACCATTTCTAGGCCCTGCTTCTAAGTAAACGCCCCAGCCTAGGGGCTCCAGGTCAAATCAATATTGAGTTTAAACATTCGATATGTCGTAAGAACGAACGTGTCCACATAATATCTCTAAAATTAGCTCTAAACATTGGAAGTTACTTTCAGAAGTCTTAACCAGGTGGATCAAAAGATGATGAGTACCAAAAACCAGCACACGTCACGTCGAAAAGATCGATACCGCCGAAAACTAAACATAAACCAATAGATATTCAAATAGAAACTAACCTGAGATTTGGACCAAGAAAGGTCAAGCACGACATCGAGATGCCCCTCGAATGAACAGACGGGTTTTTCGGAAAGCCCAAATACAGTCTCAGGTACTATAACATTCTCCAAGCTCGCTGATTTTCGGCTAATAGAAGATCTCCCTCTTCTCTTCTTCTCATGATGGCTATCCACATTTGGAGATAATGAAGTCGGCTCTGGTGATTCGTTAGCTGTAAGTAAGAAACTCAAATTCCCTTCTTCGGGTTTCTCCATCAGTAGCTCGCCCTTCTTCTCCGACTCGACGACCTGCCAAACATGAATGATACGGTCCTCTCCTGCACTTGCAAGGTACTTCCCATCCAAACTGAACTTAA